CGAGTCTCCAGGTCTCTGTCCCGCCCTGTGTCCGTCAGAACCCTGGTCATTGTGGCCTTATGTGAGCCTTCTCCCTGCCTTACGATGTGTAATGATTGGGAACACAGGTCAGTTCCCTAGAAAACGGTCATCTAGTGAGCCAGTGCCACCTGCACACAGGACTGTGGCCAGACGGCACCCGCCTGGGCTGTGGTCTGAGCCCAGAGCAGCTCGGCATGGCCAGACGTGCAGAGAGCCAGCTCGGGCAGGCCCTGCTGCTTGTCCCCAGTGCGGCTCACCTCCTTCTGTGTCCTCAGTTCACAGGCAATGGGCCATGTGAAATGAACAACGTTCAGAAGAGCGACCATGACAAAAATCTGGAGCACGGCAAGAAGCGCTCCCGGCCCTCGCTCCTCCGGCCCGTGTCCGCCCCTGCCAAGGTAACCATGCCGATGCACATCCAAGTCCCTGTGTGGCATCGCCCAGCAGCCTGGCCTCCTCTGTGGGGACCAGGGAGTAATGGGCAGAAGCCCAGGCAGCAGGCCAGAGCTGAGTCTGGACCCTGTTCTGGTCCAAAATTCACCATCAGTGGGACTTGAGAAGTTGGCTGCCTCTAAGGTGAACACTCACCTGTTCTCCTTGTTTCACAAAATTGTTGTGAAGAGGAGAGTTCTTCCTTCAAGTCCTGAAGAAATGGGGTGTAGCACTGTCTGCTCCTTTTCACAGTCATGACTCTCATGGGTGAGATTGCCAGGTTCAGTTGGGTGGGTTGATCACTGCACAACTGGGGAGCAAGAGTGGCTGAGATCCAGCTCCTGTTCTGCTCCTCACCCCCTGGTGGTGGTTATCTAATTCCATCATTCTTGAGCAGTTGCTGGTTGACATTCTATTGTAATGAAGAACGTTGTCCTCATCACCATCTATTTAGTCACACATTCCAGCGCAGACTCAGGGTGCACTCTGTTACTGTCATTGTTCATCTTTATGCCCGAACTATCCTTGGTTTGGCCAGTGGGCCCCTGCAGGCCAGCTTCTGTCTCCTTTGACCTAGCCTCGTTGTTCTCCAGGCACTTTGGAGATGGTTGTGGCAGCACAATAATGTCTTCCACATCCTAGGGAGCAGCTGGCTTCAGGTCCTCGTCCACCTTAGGGACAAGAGTCTTCATGCAGCTTTAACACCTGACTTCTCCAGGGTCCTGCCAGCGCTGTCCCCTTGTCACTGACTCAGCCCACAGGATAAAACGCACAGGAAGAGGTTTCTGATGTCAGAGGACCCAGGATCACACCCCCTGCAGAGGTGCGTAAGGCTAACTCATGGGATTTCTCTCCACAGAAGAAGATGAAACTCCGAGGTACCAAAGACCTGTCCCTCGCGGCCGTGGGGAAGTACGGGACCCTGCAGGAGTTCTCCTTCTTTGATAAGGTGAGCGCGGGCCCTGGCTTCCTTCCCCGGGGGCCATATCCAGCCGCTGGTGCAGTGCTGCCTGAGCAGGTTCCCGTCCGGCAGGTCTTGCTCAGCCCAGGTCTGCAGGATGGTGCTCCTGGGCGAGGGAGGTGGCTCTTGGGAGGGGGTGGCCTCCTGCTCTCTCCACAGAAGGGGTGTGGGCTGTGTGGAGCTGGAGTGTGGTGTGGCAGGCGGGAAGTGGCTGGGCAGTGGGAAGGCCAGAGCTCCCTCCAGACAGGGTTCAGGGACATGTGTGTCTGCCACCCTGCACCTGTGTGGCCTTTTCTAAATCGAGGGTGGCCCTGGGCTTCTGCGCAGAGTCAGTGGGCAGAGCGGTTGAGATGGCCTGCGCATGTGCAGACAGAGCCCAGGCCGAGGGTTGCCCTATGGGCAGTGTTCACTCCCCGGCCACACCCGCCCCTCAGAGCTCTGCTGGCGTTGGTGACGTGTGCACCTGGTTGTGTCCCAACTGCCTGCTGGCTGAGGAGCAGGCTCCCAGCAGCCGCTGACGTGCTCTCCCCACAGGTGCGCAGGGTGCTGAAGAGCCAGGAGGTGTACGAGAACTTCCTGCGCTGCATCGCCCTCTTCAACCAGGAGCTGGTGTCGGGCTCCGAGCTCCTGCAGCTGGTCAGCCCGTTTCTAGGGTGAGCAGCCGGCTTCCCAGGGCCCCTGGGTGGGTCTGTCTGCCTGCAACTCTGTCGCCTCGCTTTTGAAACATGATGCATGTGTCTTATGGTTTTGTTTTGTAATTCAAATTGTTATTGAGATTGTTTTAGATATACATATATTTGTCAGAAATGATATGGAGAAAGCCAGGGGACTCTGTTTCTCTGAGGGCGAGTGTCCTAACCAGGATATTGACATTTAGGCAACCCACCAAACCCCTTCCCCATTGTACCTATTTTGTGTGTGTATAGAGGGTCCCCAACTTAATGATGTTCTGCTTACAATTTTCAACTTTATGTTAGTGTTGAAGCAGTACAGCATCTTCAAAAAAAAAAGGATTTATTCAGGCAGAAGGAAAATAATACAGGTAATAAACTTGTATCTGCTTGAAAAAAGGAAGAGCATCAGAGAAAAATATAAAAAATATAAATATGAAAATATAACTGAATGAAGTTTTAAGCTCGGTGTGGTGGCCATGCCTATAGTCCCAGATGCTGTGGAGAGACCAGCTTGAGCAATGTGACAAGATCCTGTCTCAAAGAAAATGGTTTTACAGGGCTGGAGATGTAGCATAGCAGGAGAGAACTTGCCTATCATGGGGGAGGCCTGGGTTCCACCCCTGGCACCACCAACAAAACAAACACCACAGAGAACATCTTGCACATGGTGGGTACACACTATATGTTGTTGTTCTGTTCAGTTCTTCTAACAACTGCAGGCTGCTGCCGTGGGAATCCCTTGGCATTAATTAAAAATAAACTTCCTGTCTGGCACAGTGGCTCGGGAGGCTGAGGCAGGAGGATCCCAAATTCAAAGCCAGCCTCAGCAACTCAGTGAGGCCCCATCTCTAAGTAAAATATGAAAAGAGGGCTGGGGAGGTGGCTCAGGTTTTAAACACCCCTGGGTTCAATTCCTGGTACAACAAAAACCAAAACAAACTTCTTTGTACTTTTTTTTCTAATGTAAAGTGAAACAGGAAACCTCCCAGTGGTGTAGACAGTCATGATTGGGCAGACACGGGGGGGGGGGGGGGGACGACCTACCATTCAGGTCACAAACAGCTGCTCCAGCTCCCAGGAGCTCCTCCAGGCACGCAGCCGTCACTGTCTCCTGACTGGAGTGGCTGCCTCCTGGGCGGCTGTAGTGCAGCCACCCTGATGGGCTACTCCAAGCTGTTCAGGGTTTGTTTCTCATGGAGTGCTCCTCCTTACCTTCTGGGGATACCTTCCAAGACCCCCAGTGACTGCCTGAGACAGTGGTTGATACTTGGTGTCCCAGGAGGATTAGTCCCAGAAATCCTCATAGCTACCCACGACTGTGAGTGCCCCGGTTTCCTGGATAAAATGGCATAGTGTCCCCACGGGACCCCCACACCCTCCTGCAGACTTGAAACCATCTCCAGGGAACGTGGGATACCGAACGTGACCTGCAGGCTGCGTACATGACTGTTAGAGCTGTTGTCTGTGAGGAACCTGTTGACTGTGAGGAACCTTTATCCAGCAGAAGCCTCCAGGCCCCCTGCACCGTTTTCCTCGCCCTCTTTCCTCTCCACGTTGCCATTTGCCTGGGGTCTCCTGGGAGCAGAGCAGGGGCTGGGCCTTCCTCACAGGGGTTTGCAGACAGCAGTATCATGGTGGGGGGATGTAGTCTCTGCGTGCCACTGGGCTGCCCAGCTTAGGCACAGCAGGATCATCATGCAAATGGAGTGACCACATCTTTTTTGGTAGGATTTGATATTTTAAACAGAAATTCAAGTGGCAGTAGGGGTCAATTGCAGTAAATTCCTCCTAATGACACTGTTGGTTGCATTGTGGCTTGTGAGAATGTGTCCCTAGAGGGGCTCGCAGGGAGGAGTCTCCCCATGAGGGAGGAAGGCTCTCGATCAAGGGCAACAGACTTGATCTGAAGGGACAGTCCCTGTGGAGATTTGTCCACTCTAGTCCTGCAAAAGCAGCCACAGGAGTAGTAAGCAAATACCCAAAATGGTGACAATAAAACTTTATTTATAAAAACAGGCAGTGGGCAGGTGGGTGGCTTCTGTCCAAGGAATGAGACTGCTCCTGGGCTCCTGCCTTCTGGAGCCGCAGTTTCTGCCATGTAACGTCGTTATTTCATCCCCACAAACCTGGGGCCAGATATGCCTCAAAGACAGCCATAGAGGGTCCCACAGCAGGGCCCCAAACTGTCCCAAGATGGGGCCAGGGATTCCAAATCATGAAGCCCCCGGCCCTGGGGTGATCAGCCCAGAGCATCTGTTGGGGGAATTGGAGTGCTGAAGTGTGTCCTTATGGCGGACAGGGAGGGCGAAGGAGTGACCACCCGGGCATGGGCCAGCGCCCTGGGGATGGAGTTTTGTGAGGGCTTAGGGGATTTAGCTCAGGGCCAGGCTGGTTTCTTTCTGTGTTTCGTCGACAGTCTTGGCTCTGCTGCCTTCCCCTGGGAGTGGCCTGGGCCGTGGATGGGGCTCAAGTCTGCTGTGGGACCTGCAGCCTGCTGGGTCCCAGAACCAGCAAAGCACTGTGTGTGTTCCCTTCAGTCATGACAGGAATGGAACAAAGAACTGGGAGACATTACATCCTCCTTTCCAGCATGTATTGAGGCCCCCCTGTGAGTGGCTGGGTCAGTAGCTGCAAATAGGCTTGGTTTTTGACCCAAAAGGGTAGGGGCAGATTTACTCAAAGCCTCAGAGTGGAGGAGAGACCTTATGCCCTCGAGGCTCTGCTCTGCCTTCTGCTCCCCACCCCTGCGTTCACTTTGTCTCTAACCTCAGGTGGCCCCAGGGATGCCAGCTTACTGTTTATCTTTGTCTTTGAAGGAAATTTCCAGAACTCTTTGCACAATTCAAGTCTTTCCTGGGGGTAAAAGAGCTGTCATTTGCGCCACCCATGAGCGACCGATCTGGGGATGGAATAAGCCGGGAAATTGACTATGCATCCTGCAAGCGCATCGGGTCCAGCTACCGGGCTCTCCCCAAAACCTACCAGCAGCCCAAGTGCAGCGGGAGGACAGCCATCTGCAAGGAGGTAGGGACCGGGCTCTGAGGTCAGCCCGCAGGGCTTCCTCCCCAGCCTGCCCAGCCCTCCAGCAAGCACTGTGGCCCCATGCTGCGTAGGAGACCCAGTGCTGGCCCCCCAGGTATGGGAGGACAGATGGGGCCAGGATCTGGCCTGGAATCCTCCTGGGCAGAGGTGGCAGTTTCATACCCAAAATGCAGATATGTGGGATTTGACTCACTCCTCCGTCATTTAGACCTGGGATCATTGCTGCTGGGATCCCGCTGTGTCCCTGGGTTACTGACATCAGTATGGTTTAGCTTGACCCGGAGACACTGGAGAATTCGTGGACAGGAGACTGCCACATTCCAGGATTCAGGAGCACCTGCTGGTTCCAGAACATCTGTAGTCCAGGGGTTTGCGGAGTGCCATCAGCCAGACCTGCCACCTGCCTCTGTCTGGCGTTTCACCAGCACACAGCCATGCCCATTGAGGGCACGTCGCCCGTGGCTACCTTCTCAGGACACAGGCAGGGGGCAGTGTTCAAGACAGACCAGTGGCCCACAAGACGTAGAATGGTGGTCATCAGGCCTTTCAACAGAAAGTCTGCCGACCCCAGGGATAGTTTAATGCGGTCACTGAACCAGAGTCCTAGGTCTCCTTAAAATCTGCTCTGAAATCGGATTTACTATTTGTATGGTCAAGTAATCACCTATACATGAGGACAGTGTCACACATCTTCTGTGCCAAGTAGCACTGTTAACATCTGGCCACTGGCACTGCCTCCCTGTCACTTGTTTCCTCTTGGTGCAGGTGCTGAATGACACCTGGGTCTCCTTCCCCTCCTGGTCAGAAGACTCCACCTTCGTCAGCTCCAAGAAGACGCCCTACGAGGAGCAGCTGCACCGCTGTGAGGACGAGCGATTCGAGGTGCGGTGCCAGCACCCCTGGCCCTGTTCTCCCGGCCACCTGTCCTTCCTTCCCACCCTCTGCTGCACTCTCCCCTCACCTCCTGTCCACCTGGTGTCCCCCGGGGCTCATCCCCTTCTTCCTTCACACCTGTTAGCCCTGGGAGCAGGGATTCCAGCACTTCCTGGCAGTGGGCAGCTCCCCAAGGCGTCCTGTTTCTTCTGGTCCTGGTGGCCCCTGTGCTGGTAACACAGTGATGTCCCCGTCTCCAGCAGTAATGGGGATGGAACCTAGGGCCTCACATGTGCTGCTCTGCCCCTGTGCTGGACCCCGGCCCTTTTATTTTGAGACTAGATTTGCTGCGTTGCCCAGGCTAACAGTTCATTGTATTTTTTTTTCATTGAAATTTTGATTAAGATCATCAAAGTCATAAGCAGAGTAAGAAATCAGAGAGCAAGTCCCAGGGTGACGTCTTGCAAAACTCCAGGACAGCGCCACAGCCAGGGCCCCAACATCAAAACAACCGTTTATCTCTTTCAGATCCCCAGTCGGACTTGCACTCACCTGTGCACGCACGCATGCGCGCGCGCGCTTGTGTGTATGTGTGTTTGTCTCTGTGTGTGTGTGTGTGTGTGTTTCTGTGTGTGTGTATGTGTGTCTGTGTGTTTTCCACTGCTGCCGCAGGACCGCAGGTGGGGATCTGTAGCAAACAGACGCCTTGGCTCGAGGTTCCGCAGGCTGAGAAGCCCAGTGTCAAGGTGCCTGCCTCTGGCGAGGGCCCTCTTGCATCATCACAGGGGAAGGGCAAAGAGGGCAGGCAAGACAAGGGGACAGAACGTGGCCTTTGGCAACAAAGCCCCTCCTGTGACACTGTCCACCAGCCCCGAGGGCGGTCCAGATGCTTGGCCTGCTTGGAGGTCCTGCTGCTGGGTGCTGCTGCTCTGGCAGCTCAGCTTCAGTGGGCGGCGGGGGGTGAGACCACAACAGAAAGAGCGTGCGTGTGCACAGGCGTGTGTATTTATGCGTGTGCATGGAATGTACGTGCGCGTGCATGTGTGCCTTCTTCTCACCTGTGGGGGTTCCTGTGTCCACTAGAGTCCAGGTTCTGGACAGCTCACCCCTCATGCTGCCCTAATTCATAACCATACCAGCTCCTTTCCCATCCCCACCCTGTCTCTACTCCTGCCAGCCTGTCCTCCCCTCTGTCACTTTGTCATTTCAAGAAGTTGTTTGTCACCACAGTATCTTCAGGGCTGTGTTGTTGAGCGTAACTGTGCTTTTGATGCCCTGGAAGAGGGTCAGCCTAGGGACCGTTCCCCTCCTCAAATGTGTCCTTTGTTGTCCTGGCTGCTGGCCGCTCACGCTGTGGTGGGCCATCTGCAGGTCTCTGTCAGTGGTGCCATCGCTGGGGTCCTGACACCCACCCCAGGCCACCGGGCTCACCCCGGGCAGCCCCGACCACTCTTCCCTTTCATATCCAGCACAGTGTCCCCTGCACAGACCAGGTGCCCACTTCCCCACGTACCAGGCGCCTCCCTGAGTGCCTGTGTCCGACGTGTCCTGACTTTCTTTCTGTAGTTAGATGTTGTCCTGGAGACCAACCTGGCCACCATCCGTGTGTTGGAAAGTGTGCAGAAGAAGCTCTCGCGGATGGCACCGGAAGACCAGGAGAAGTTCCGGCTGGATGACTCCCTGGGCGGCACGTCAGAGGTGATCCAGAGGCGCGCCATTCACCGCATCTATGGTGACAAAGCCCCTGAGATCATCGAGAGCCTCAAGAAGAACCCCGTCACCGCTGTGCCTGTCGTCCTGAAGAGGTGTGGTAGGCTTCCACCACCCTCCTTCCTCGGGGAGCCCAGTGGGAGCCTGTGGCCTCAGGCTGGCACTGTTCCCAGCTTCTGTCCTCTCCCAGCTCCACTCCAAGGGGAGTGCTGTAGACGTGGCTAGTCCTCCTGGGACCCTCCTGTGCCCATGGCCACACTTAGACATAGAGTCAGTCATCCCTCTGAGCCGCAGACTGGCTCCAGGACCCCATGGATGTCCAAATCTGTGGGTGCTCAAGTCCATCTATGAAACAGCGTAGTTTCTGTGTAGAACTCACCATATCCTCCTGTGGACTCGACTTGTGGTGGTGACTGCAGTGCAGGTGCCAGGTGAATAGTTGTACTGTATTATTTAGGGATCGCAACTCAGTTGAAGACACGAGTTTCTTCCCTTCAGATATTTCAGTCTGCAGTTGGTTGAATCTGCAGAGCCGAGGCTGTGGTGGGAGGGCTGGCTGTCACTACTTTAAAACACAAATGGGACCCTGTTGTGTCAGAGCTTGGTGTTACATAACAGCACCTCTTAGAAATTGACCTGCGCTCGCAGGTGCTTTACTTACTAAGTGGCCCCTCTCAGGCGGGCACCAGCCCCCAGGTCGCAGACCTGGGCAAGGCTACTGCAGCTACTTCCCACAGGGTGCCAGTTGAGCAGAGGAGCTGACTGGGGACCAGCAGCCACAGAGTGTGCTCTGTGCCCGGGAGGAGGGAGAGGAGCTGAAGCAGCTCCAGTGCTCCGCAGCCCCGGCCACTCTTTCCCTTTCATACCCGGCACGGTGTCCCCTGCACAGACCAGGTGCTGTCGGACTAGGCCTGAGTCGTGGCTGTCCCCAGTCGAGTCTAGGAGGAGGACAGACTTGTGTCCTACAAGGAAGGTGCCCTGAGGAGTCCCCAGTGCTGAGTGCATCTCGTCCCTGCAGGCTGAAGGCCAAGGAGGAGGAGTGGCGGGAGGCCCAGCAGGGCTTCAACAAGATCTGGCGCGAGCAGTATGAGAAGGCCTACCTCAAGTCCTTGGACCACCAAGCCGTGAACTTCAAGCAGAACGACACCAAGGCCTTGCGCTCCAAGAGTTTGCTCAACGAGATCGAGAGTGTCTATGATGAGGTGAGGACCTCCTGCCTGAGGCCAGGCAGGCGGGCGTAGGCAAGGGCCAGCCCCTGGGTCTCCTGCCGCTGTAGGCAGGTGGCCAGGTCTCTGTGCCTTTGTTTCCCAGCAGCTAGGGGCTTAGTGGCTTCACCCTGCAGGGCTGTGTTGGGTGAGGGTTGTTCCTGGGTACTGCAGCCCAGGGGAGTCAGGGACTCTGCTGGTGTTGGGGAGAGGCTCCCCGGGGCGTGGAGGACTATGTGCAGTCAGCTATCAAGAGCGGCTTCCATCTGTCATCGCTGCCTGTGCTCCAGGCGCTGCTAGTACTCCCAAAAGGAATGTCACAAACCCTGCTTGCTGGGCGCAGCTGTCATTGTGCTGATTTTGCAACAAGGAGATGGAGGCACCAGACATTGCCACTAACTGGGGACCAGGGTCCTGAGTCCCCGGATCCTCTGACCCTGGGCTTTGCCTTCAGCTCTTATGATCTGCCTCGCCCCTTGGCAGGCTGTGGCCCGTCGGGCTCAGGGGCACGAGGAACAGAAATGTGGCAGAGCCGCTCCCTCTGGTTTTAAGAGTCTGGCCCTTGGTACAACCTGCAGGGGAGCCAGTTGTTTGCAGGAGCCCAATGTGGGAAGCTTGGTGGGAAGGTGATGGCCCCTGGACATGGTGGCAGCCAGATGCCGGAGAGGAGGTGGCCAGGGAAGGGACACTTCTCCTTGGGCAGGAGCCGAATGGAAGTGGAGCTACTTCACCATCCTGGTGTCTACCTGGGCAGGTGACATCTGCTTCACGCCTCTAATCCCGGCCACTGTGGCATCTGAGGAATTCAAGACCAGCTTGGGCACCTTAACAAGACCCTTTTCAAAATAAGTAGTAAAAAGGGCTGGGGATGTAGCTCGTGTTAGAGCTGCTGGGTTCAGTTCCCTGTGTTATATACCCGCATGCATACGTCATCAGTCACTGAGCCCCTTCATTCCTTACGTAACCACACAGTAAAGATTGTACCTCAACTTATAATATGGAAATCAAAGGCAGAGGAGCCGGAAACTGGTCTGAATTCTCCTGCCCTGTATGGGACACAGCTGGACAACCTGTCTGCCCAGAGCATGTGTGACCATTATGGACACCATCCAGGGCCCAGCCACAGATGGCCTTCCCTCCAGGGCCCTCCCTGCTGGGCTGTCTGACTGCTGAGGCCCTAGGCCTACCCTGAGGCCCACCCCAAGGGTGCTCTGGCTTCCTTACTTTAGTCCTGGGTGGGTCCACAGGCCCGAGACCTGTCTGTGGGGCTAGAGACACCTGCAGGATGGGGCTGATAATATGGCTCTCGGACCCACCCATGCTACTGCTGAGGTCCTGGGCCTCTGCCAGGGGCTGGGACTGATAGGGTGCCCGGGTACAGGGACACTGCCGCCTTCACCCCCCACCTGGCGAGTCTCGTGGTGGTCCCTGTTCATACCTGTCAGACCCTCATCTCGCGGTTCGCAGAGCACCTTTGCCATCTCATGCATGCCTTGTTCTAAAGAGGACTTTTTAAGATGCTTTTCGAGGGCATCTGTGGTGTAGATGAGGCAAGGGAATTGGGAAGCCGGAGGGGAGCTCAGGTCACACTGAGGAGCCAGGGCAGGGCTGAAGTGCAGCCCACTGTGGGCGCCAGCTCCCCAGGAGCAACCCCGCTGACGTCGCAGGCTAGTGACCAGTGCCTCCCATTTGTAAGGGAACACGGCCTCCAATGAGAAGCAGGACTCCTCTGCTCCGGAAAGCTGGGGTCCTGGCCAGGGTCTGTGTGGAAGGACCCCCTGCTCATTCTGTGTTTGAGGGGCCCCTCAGTATCGTGCCCTGGACTTACCACTGAGAGCCTGAAGGACCCCCAGCCCTGCCCACAGGGATACACTCACTTTACACAAGAACCCGGGCACCTCTACCTCTCTGTCTGGTGTTTAGAGGATCAGTGGGCCACGCAGGAGAGGACTGGGTGTCACGGGGTGCTGGAGGAAGCAGTGACTGTCTTTGGGTTTGGAGGAAGAAAAGTCGTTATCCAGACGAAGCCTGAGGGCAGCAGTGAGCCCAGGGAGGAGGTTGTCTGGGGAGAGCAGGTGAGCAGACAGGCATGTGCAAGGGCCCTGTGCATGGCAAGGGGAGCTCAGTGCCCCCAAAGCATCAGAGAGGAACGGGGGCTCCTTGAGACCTTAGGGGCCACAGGGCAGGGCACCGGAGGCTGGGGTTTTCTGGGGGCCTGGGCAGGTCTGGGTGGTTTAGTGACTGGCCCTGCTGCTCTCAGCCAGATCTCCGTGGACGCAGGAGAGTGGGTGGGGCTGGTGGAGGGTGGGGAACAGACAGGGGTGGTAGGTCTTGGTGACGTGCATGGTGTGAAGGACAGCAGAGGGACAGAAGGGTATCACGAGCACCAGTGCATGAGTGACAGGAGGGCAGAGAGGCCCGGGGCCCACCAGGGCCTCCCTTACCCCAGGCGCCCGAGTCAGCTGGGACCAGGGGCTGGGGATGCTGCCCACCTCCTGGCAGCTGGCTTCTGGGCTGCCATTGGCTGTGGTGGTGGCCAGTTGACCTTGTCGGAGGGTGGCCTGGCAGGGAGCCGCATGCCCTTTCAGGTAGCAGAGCTGGACTGCAGCTCGGGCCTGAGTGTGATGCGTTAGAGCCCCTGTGGTTCTCAGCTTTGCTGCCTGGGACCTGTGACTCTTCCCCACTTCAGCAAGAGGACCAGGGACATGGCTCCAGGAGAGGCTGAGCAGATGTTCCGCATCCCAGCTTCTGCAGTGTCCTCACCTCCCTGGGCAGCGCACATCCACTCTGGGTCCTGGCGCACAGTGACTTGTCTGTGAGGGTGGGGACACTGCCTGGTGCCGGGTGCTTCCCACCTGACGGTTGCTCTGTCCCCTCAGCACCAGGAGCAGCATTCGGAGGGCCGCAGTGCCCCCTCCAGCGAGCCGCACCTCATCTTCGTCTATGAGGACAGGCAGATCTTGGAGGACGCGGCGGCCCTCATCAGCTACTACGTGAAGCGGCAGCCAGCCATCCAGAAGGAGGACCAGGGCACCATCCACCAGCTGCTGCACCACTTCCTGCCCAGCCTCTTCTTCTCCCAGCAGCTGGACCTGGCGGCTTCGGAGGAGTCAGCCGATGAGGACCGGGACGGCCCCCCGGGCCAGAGCTCAGACCCCAGCGAACGAAAGAAGCCGGCATCAGGGCCACAGAGCAGCCCCCCAGAGGAGAAGGGGACCTTTGGGGACATGCCAGCTGCTGAGCAGCCACCTGCACCACCACCCAAGCCCCTGGATGACGTGTATAGTCTCTTCTTCGCCAATAACAACTGGTACTTCTTCCTGCGCCTGCACCAGACCCTGTGCTCCAGGCTCTTGAGGATCTACCGCCAGGCCCAGAAGCAGCTGCTGGAGCACCGCACCGAGAAGGAGCGGGAGCAGCTGCTGTGCGAGGGCCGCAGGGAGAAGGGCAGCGACCCCGCCATGGAGCTGCGCCTCAAGCAGCCCAGTAAGCGCCCCATGGGGCCCTGGGTTCAGGCTCACGACTTGTGACCAAAGGCACAGATTGCATTTCTGGGTGGCCTTTGGTTGTGAATAGTCATCCCTCTGTGTCCTTAGGCTCCACGTCCTCAGCTTCACCCACCTGCACACTGAAAATATCCCCCCTAAATCACATCTGTGCCAGACATGTACAGACCTTTATTTTATTGTCGTGATCCCTAAACAATACAGTGTAACAGCTGTGCCTGAGCGTGCCTTCGACTGGGTGTTCTAAGTGACCAGAGGGGATTCAGAAGTCTAGGGGACTGCACATGGGTCTGTGTAGATACATGTCATGGACAGAGGGACTTGAGCATCTGTGGGCTTGGTATCTGTGGGGTCTTGAACCAATCCCTTGTGGATACCAAGGGTCAACTGTTAATTATATGATTTTGAGTGGAAAGTTGCAAATGGAACATTGCCAATGTACTAAGAGATTCTCCAGTACCCCTCCCGGCTTCCTCCAGCAGTGACCCCTTTCCTAGATGTAGTCATGTCCAGACAGGAGACAGGCTTTAAGCGTTATCCTCCTTCACAGCCTTGTCTCACCAATCTTCCTGGTGCGTGTAAAGCCACCTCAGCCGTCCCTAGCTGCCATCCCCAAGTCTCACGGCTGAGCCATGTATCCAGACTGAGCAGCCGGGGTGGGGGTGGGGGTGCAGCCTGGCTGCTTGTGTTCCCTGGTGATGCCAGATTCCCCCTGGGTCGACTGCGCATATGCCAGGTCCTTGGTGGGGGCTGCCAGGCCCACAGTGGGGTTTCCCCGAGCTCCGAGGTGGGGACTCAACCCACGGTCTGCTCGTTCTCTTGGGAGGCAGTGGCCACAGTGTGGGGTGGTGCCTCACCGTCCGTCTTCCCTAGGTGAGGTGGAGCTGGAGGAGTATTACCCGGCCTTCCTGGACATGGTGCGGAGCCTGCTGGAGGGGAGCATCGACCCCACGCAGTACGAGGACACTCTGCGCGAGATGTTCACCATCCACGCCTACATCGGCTTCACCATGGACAAGCTGGTGCAGAACATCGCCCGACAGGTGAGCAGGGTTTGGACTTGGGAAATCAGGCCTTCCTCCACTCACGTACCAGAAGGCTGGCCCTGTGGTCAGCTCAGAAGACCTTTCCATTCGTTCTATTGAGATGAAATTCAAATAACGTAGATTAATCATTGTGAAGTGCGTAGCTCATAGCATTTAGTACAGAACAAACATCCCTAATCCTCAAGCCCAAATCCTGAATGCTCCAAATCCAAAACTTTGAGCATCCATCTGATGCCAGAGGTGGAAAACTCCACACCATATAACTTTGTTTTACACACAAAATGATTTAAAAAACTGTATAAAATTGCCTCCAGCCTGTGCGTATGAGGTGTGTAAGAAGCACAAGTGAATTTCTTGTCTAGGCTGAGTCCATTCCCAGAATGCCTCATCATGCACGTTAGATATCCCGAAAGCTGAAAACACCCACGATCCAGAACATCTTTAGTGTCCAGTGTCTGGATAGGGGATGCTCACCTGTGTGTCCATGGCATTGTGCGGCTGCCACCTCTTTTCATTCCCCTAAAAGAGAGACCTCCATCCCCCTCCCTCAGCCCCTGGCAGCCGCTGCCCTGCTTCCTGTGTCTGGGTATTCCTGTGCTGGCCACTGCACATCAGTGGACTCACGCACCATGTAGCTTTTTGCATCTAGCTTCTGTCACTTATGTAATGTTTTTGATGTCCATCACTTTGTGGCCTGTGCCAGTGCTTGGTTCCTTTTCAGGGCTGTGTAGCCTTCCCTCCTTTGGCCGATGTGTTCAGCCATTCCTCCACTGCAGGTGGTTGGGTTGTGGCCGCCTTGTCTCTACAGAGCAGCAGTGTCTGTGTGAGCTCAGGGTTGAGTCCTTGTTTGTCTTCTTGAGGGAAAATGGATGGCACATGTCCACTTACCCTGGGGGACATCAGCCATGCCTATCAACAGCAGTTTTATTGCTGGTGGAAAATGGCCACAGCTAAATGTCAGCAAAGGATGTGGGTCATAAACAAACAGCAAAAGCCCAGCTGAGCTGGATGAGGCCCAGACACGAGTCTGCCTGGTTGCTGCCGGAACTGTTCACCGCGACCTCTGTTTCCTGATTATCAAATGAGGCCATTTATTGTCAAGCAGATAAGAAGTTGGGAAAGAAAGTGTGTGGTTAACCCTCATCCAGACATGGCCAAGGGAGCTCTTCATCCTCCGGGATTCAGGGCCTTGGCCTCACCCAATCCCGCCAGGCCTCCACCGCTGAGCCTCACCCAGCCCCACAGACTGTTTGCTGAAGTAGAGCACAGATGGGAACGAGCCAGGTCCAGAGCAGCGGGTGGCCTTTCACCAGTGCAGCTTCCCCCTCATGTCCCCAGCCACCCTCCCACCATGGGCTTCCATCCTGCCCTCTGCACCAAGCGCTGAGCCCTGTGTAATGGCCGTGCCCAGGAGCACCATTCTGGGGCCTCCTGGTTACCCTACTCCTGTACCCGCTAAGGACGCCTGGGCCGTACCCCGTCCGGGCTGTGAGCAGCAGCATGTTGTGCCCCTGTGTCCTGGTGCAGGATGCGAGTGTGTCCTGCTTCCCAGGGCTCACCTGGCAGTGGGCAAGGCCGTGCCCTGTGTCCTCGCCAGGGCTCACCATCCGTGGTCCTGCTCCCGTGGGTGCCTTGGGGCTCACGTTGCTTGGGGGTGTGGCCTGTGGATCCATCCTCCGTGTGGGCCCTGTTGCCCCAGAGCTGCCCTGTCCACCCACAACCAGGGGGCCACGGGGCTCTGCGAGGCAGCAGCTGTGTCTGGACACCGCCCTCCTTGATCTCCACTTCCCCTGCGAGTCAGGGGTGGGTCTCTGTCCCTTCCTGACTCCATCTGCAGTGGTGACCACTTTGGCTGGGTCATGGAGAAACAGCACCCAGGTTCCTGCACAGTGTCCCACGGCTTCTGGGACAGCAGGCTTGTTTGCAGCACCAGGAGGTTAGGCCAGATTGGGCACTTTGATTACTATTTGGGTGGGGGGAACCTTTCTACAGAATTTCTAGAACCTGTGCAGCTGACCTGCCGTGCCCTGGTCTCTTGCTGCCTGTTGTCCCCAGCTGTGGCTGTACTGAGCTCCAATCACAGCCCCAAGGCCAGGTTCCCCCAAGGGCAAGGACAAGGTAGATCACCCTGCCATTGGTGATCTACCTTGTCCAGGTTGGGTCTGACCTCTGACCTCTCGGTCTCACTTTTTTTTTTGAGGGCCAAGGAAGGTACCAGGGATTGAACTCAGGGCACTTGCCCACTGAGCCACCTCCCCAGCCCTATTTTGTATTTTATTTAGAGACAGGGTCTCACTGAATTGCTTAGGGCCTCACTGTTGCTGAGGCTGGCTATGAACTGGTGATCCTCCTGCCTCAGCCTCCCGAGGCATTGGGGTTACAGGCGTGCGCCACCGTGCCTGGCTCAGCCTCACTTTTTAAAAAATCAGCATTTTTTAAAAATCTGCTCTTTAGCAGCAGTGGGTCTTTGTTGGGTGCCAGCAATGTGCCAGGTACCCCACAAGACCCGGGCATGTCTAGATGTCACTGCATTTATTAACAGTGACAATTGGGGAGGACATGTATGGTCCCCCTGAGGCATAGGGCCACCTGTCAGAGCCCAGAGCTGGTGCTGGGCAGAGTCCACGGCACACAGCTGAGGCTTGCCCCCAGCCCCGGCTACTCTCGTTGTTTCTTAAGGAACATAAAGATAAGAAACCTTTAAACCAAAGATCTAGGGAAAGTCCCACCTGCCATCACACTGCTTTCAGATAATGCACGCACGCACGTCTTCGCTGGATATTTCTCACACGGGGGTGGGGGGGGGGGGGGTGTGGCCTGGCCCCTCTGGCCTCTGTGGTCAGGCTTGGGCTGCTCTGCACAGCTCTGAGGTCACCCTGGGCAGCCCTCAGGATCCTGGTCCTCGCCCCACGCCTCGTTTCTGGCCTTTGCCAACTTCCTCTTGGGTGGGGTGGGGCTGCAGCAGGAGGGAGCTGTAGTGCCACCTGCTGTCCCTTTCTGCCAGCTGCACCACCTGGTGAGTGACGACGTGTGCCTGAAGGTGGTGGAGCTCTACCTGAATGAGAAGAAGCGGGGAGCCGCTGGCGGGAACCTGTCTTCCCGCTGTGTCCGAGCTGCCAGGGAAACCAGCTACCAGTGGAGGGCGGAGCGCTGCATGGCGGACGAGAACTGCTTCAAGGTGAGGCCAGCTCCCTCTGTCGCACGCACGCTGGGGTGGTGCCGGAGCCCCCAGGGGCGGCTGCGGAGAGGGCTGGACGCTGGTTTGGCTGCTGGGTGGCCCGAGGTACCACGCGCTTCACCTGCTCAGACTGAGACACTGGCCTGGCCTGCGAGCAAGGGTGAGTTCAGGGCCTGCGAGGCCCGCAGCCTACAAGGAAGCATCAGGGCCTTGGAAGGTGGCAGAGCAGGTGACCGATGTCCTGTGACCTTGTCCTGGCCAGCCAGGCTGTCTAGGTGGCTTTAGGCTTTTGTCTCCCCGCCTCCACCCCAGGTGATGTTCCTTCAGCGCAAAGGACAGGTGATCATGACCATCGAGCTACTGGACACTGAAGAGGCCCAGACAGAGGACCCTGTGGAGGTCCAGGTGAGGCCCCAGCCCCAAATCCATGCATGAGCTTGCTGCATAGGGGAGGGGACAGCATCCAGGGACAGCGTGGCGAGGCTCCTGGGCACACACTGGCCAGGGGCTGCTGGCCACCACTCCAGCAGAGGCTCCTTGCAGGCCGAGCCTCCCTGCTGCCCGTGTCCAGCCCTGTACCCACGTGTCCAGGTCAGCAGGACAGGCAGGGCCGGGGCTCCCGGGCACACCCACCTCTGGCCAGCAGCTGCAGCGCCTACTGCTCGATCCTGGAGGCCAGAGGCCCAGGTCCAGGTGGTGGCAGGGTCACACTCCTGCAAAGGCTCCCAGGGAGGGTCCTTCCTGGCCTCTTCCATGACCGTGGAGACCCCCTTCAGGAGTTTCCAGGAAACGTGATTCCACTTAGCTCAGGTCTGACTTGAGCAGGGCGGGGAGTGGGTGGAGTTCCTCGACCACACAGGCCATGGCCACCCTGCTGAGCCTGCTGTTGCCCAGCCCCAGGTCCTGTCTGGTCTCCTCTTCCTGTTGTTTGTGTCCTGACATCCATTCCTGTCCACTCCCGTCCTGGACCCCACTCTCTCTGTGAAGAGAGCCCCTCCCTCCTATTCCCCCGAGTGAGGTTTTATGTGACACCCACCGGAAGGCCATTATGCAGCCTGGACTTAGCCATAGGTGCCTGGAATACTGGTCACAGGCCCTGTTTGAACATGACCTGATTGTAGTGTCACCTCCTGGCCAAGTCCTTGGTTGCAGGTGGCATGTGGTGGTCTCTGTCACAGATCAGTCCTCGGGGACTTCTGGCCTCCCTAGGCTTTGGGGAGGAGGGTGGAGGTCTCCCTGAGCCCCTGAGTTGGGGCCAGGGTGAGAGCCCATGGCCCTGCCTGGAGGAGTCACGCTGCTGCCTGTCTTCAGCACTTGGCCCGCTATGTGGAGCAGTACGTGGGGACTGAGGGCGCGTCCAGCTCCCCCACCGAGGGCTTCCTGCTGAAACCCGTGTTCCTGCAGAGGTGAGCGAGGCTCATGCCCAGGGCTGGCTTGTCCTGGGGGGCGGCCCTGCCCTCCTGAGGCTGAGTCTGGAGCCAGCAGAACTGTAGGGGGGCCAGGGGTGGAGGCCCATTTCAGAGGCCCCACTGACTGTGGGGCTGCATCCCCCAGCCAGGGAGCAGAGGAACTGGGCCGAGACCCTGAGCGCCAGCCCTGGAGGGAGAAGCCTCTGGAACTGGCAGGGTCCGGCCAGCTGTGGCAGAGGGTGGCTCTGAGATCGGCCTCGGTGGAGTTTAGATTCGGTGGTTTCTGGTTGCTTCGATACACACCCCCCACCCCAGGAGGTTCTTGGGATGCTCAGGAGTTCCCTGGCCTACAAACCTCCTCCTCTTCCCGGGGCGTCCCTGGCACCTCCTCTTGCTCCCAGGAACCTCAAGAAATTCCGGCGCTGGCAGTGCGAGCAGGTGCGGGCGCTTCGCGGTGAGGCCAAGAGCTCCTGGAAGCGGCTCATTGGGGTGGAGAGCGCGTGTGATGTGGACTGCCGCTTCAAGCTCAGCACCCACAAGATGGTGTTCATCGTGAACTCCGAGGACTACATGTACCGCCGCGGGACCCTCTGCCGGGCCAAGCAGGTGCCGACTCCCTCTGTGATCGGGTGCCTGCACCTCGGGGACCGTGGGTCCGGCCCTCTGTCCCAGGTCTCTGGGCCACCCTAACGCCCCTCCTCTCTGCAGGTACAGCCCCTGGTGCTGCTCCGCCACCACCAGCACTTCGAGGAGTGGCACAGCCGCTGGCTAGAGGACAATGTGACCGTGGAGGCAGCCAGCCTGGTACAGGACTGGCTCATGGGTGAGGAGGATGAGGACATGGTGCCCTGCAAGACGCTCTGTGAGACGGTGCACGTGCACGGCCTGCCCGTCACCCGCTACCGCGTGCAGTACAGCCGCCACCCAGCCTCGCCCTGAGCAGCCCGAGCAGTGACGCGCCCTTGGCCACAGCCTCCATCCTTGGGATGTTTTCCTGAACAAGTTGGGGCCTTGTGTCCCCAGCCCCGCTGCTGCGGGACAGCCAGCCCCAGAGCAAGGCCCTGCCTCCCCTGGGCTCCCTGGCTCGTGTGGGCCTGTCCTGTGCCAAACCTGATCCCTCTGCACTTGGGCCCTGGGCGCAGCCCCGCCCCCCAGGGGTGGGCAGACACCCTGGCCAAGGAGCCCCACTGTGCATCAGGTGCCAAATCCCTGCTGGGTGGGCACGTGCCATCACTGACCCTGAATTCCCAGGGTCTTGGAAAAGTCACAGGTGACAGATATGCAAGGCCTGTGCTTGGGAGGGGCTGAGTGTCCCCAAGACCCTGACACCAAAGTAGCTGGGCCTTGGGTGGACCCGCTTGTAAAGCAGGTCCTTCCGCAGCTCCCCAGAAATGTTGCCTGAGGGTTGGGTGTCAGTCACGCAGCCAGTGATGGGCACCCTTGGTCATTCTGGAGAAGAGCCCCTCCAGCCGAGCTGGGGCTCCCACCGTAACTGTCCAGACCTGGAGCTGGCGTCTGTGCCTAGAAGACCCCTCTCTGGATTAGAGATGCCAGACCCCTTGCTGATCCAGCAGCCACTCCCTGTCCCTGAGGGCAGGTGCCTCTCTAGAGTGGTGGCCCCACCCAGGGAGCCCTGGGGCACCTGGTCCTGCCCTGCAGTGGGGGTCCTGAAAGTACATGTGTGCGCACGCACGTGCATCTGTTCCTTTGCGCTCTCCTAGTGGCCCTTACCTCTGCAGCAGCCAAGGCCTGCGGCTTCTTAGGGCTGGGGTTTCTGGACGCTGAGTCCGCCCTAGCTGCCCTGTCCTGCAGCACCACCCCAGCAGCCACGCAGCCCTCTGCCTGTCCCCGGGACAGCCCAGCTGCTCCCGGGGTCATTTTCTCTCTTTGCAAAGAGCCGAGGTGACCTGTCCCTCACTGGCCCCCAGGCTCTCTCTGCCAGATCCCATGGGACGGATTGGGCCAGCGTCTCGGACCTCTTCCCCCAGCCCCCTGCCCAGTCCCAGCATCGGAGGGAGCTGGAGCTGGCCCAGAGCAGCCGAGCTCAGCCTCCTGCAGCACGGCTGTGCCAAACTCAAGGATCCAGGCAGCAAAGACGTGTTTCTAGAAGTTTCCTGTGGGACTGGAGGCTCCCAACACCTGTGACCCCAGGCCTGGGCACTTCTGAGCCCATGAGCCCACCACAGGGCCCTTGCCTGTCCCCACTGTCTCGCAGGCACTTTGCGCAGCCTGGTCTCCTAGGAGGGGATCTGATCTCGGGGACTCCTGAGCCAGTCCCGCAGCTGGGCCCAGCCCGCAGCCCTCCCCGCCCTCCCCTGTGGCCAGGGGGAGATGGGGCCTGGGTGCTCCCGAGCCCCTCCCCGCTGCGTCCCACCTCCCGCATGCTTCTGTGGAGCAGCCCTCCGTTTCCGTTTCCGAGGAATTTCTGTTCTGGGGCTTGTCCTTCCTTCGCAGCTGTTTTGAATGTAGTTTTCCATTTCTATTTATTTGCACATTAAGGTTAAAAATTAAATATTGACGTAAAATCAAGAGGTTCTGTCAGTCATTTCCTGTGAGAACCCAGACACCTCCCCGCTAGTGAGCCATTGAGTGTCCCCGTGAGCCCACCCAGGGTCTGGAAGTGCCAAGACCCCCCAGGGGGTGGGACCTGGTTCCTGAAACCCAGAGGAGTTAGGGCAGCCCCTCAGGTGGCAGCGCTGGCCTTCACAGAGGTCACCCACCCCAGCCCTGCCTGCCCCAACGTGGGAATATTTTCTAGAACGTTCTGTCCTCATTCCATTTCCACATTCAGTAGAAATGAATCTGAGTGTTGAGTGGTGTCTGCTTTGTGCTTTCTGCGCCCCGCCGGCCATCGCCTCCCCTGGGCCCCCCATCCCGAGGCCTGCCCCAGCACCCACAGAGCCAGCCTCCCTCTGGCCCCACCCCCCACCCGCCGCCTGCTCCCTGGCCTTCCAGTCTGTGACCCCTTCATACCTGGGCAGCCCCCACCTGTCTCTGGGTAGCTGCTGCGCACAGCTCTGCTTACAGTCCTGGCTGATGCACCTTCCCCTGAGGCTCCACATCCCCTCCTGCTTGTCCCTGGGCTCCCCTTCCCAAGAGCTGCCCAACCTCCCTCCCAGGACCCAGGTGCGCCCACACCCTGGGTGGCCCAGGCAGAGTGCCCTGGGCGTGCACCCCAGAGGGTCAGGGCTGCTGGGCAGGCTGGTCAACCTGGCTGAAGTGGTCCTGTCCCCAGCCCATGTCATTTAGGTGTCCAGGCCTCAGCAGTCAGAAGTGCTACAGGGACCAGAGGACATGCTCCGAGAAGTCCCTGCCCTCAGAGGGCGGGGTCTGACCGGCATGCTGACAGTGATGTGATTCGGTCATCACCCAACAGTGTCTGGAGAGGGGCGGTGCAGCAGGGGTCCTGTGAGAGCTCCGACCACCCACCACCTGGACCCAAACTGCCACCAGCTACAGAGGAAGACGCAGCCCTGCGGATGCCTGGGTCACAGCCCCGTGAGACCCAGAGCAGATGGGGCGGGCGGGCGGTCTGTGGGCCTGGAGAGGAAGGGCAGGCATCCAGGGCTGGCTGGGCCAGACCCCAGGCCCTGACTCCCTGAGCTGTCGGAGTGACACTGGGCGTGACATTTGGCCCCAGGGGATGGGCAGGCACCCTGTTCTCGGGCCAGGCTCAGGGGTTCATGTGCTCGTCCACAGGGTGAGGCCCACTAGGGACAGGGGAGGGGGTGGCAGGCCTGGGGGTGCCCACCCAACTCATCCACCTCCAGTGAGGCAGCAGAGGAGGTGCTCGGGGACAGTCCCTGGGCCTTCCAGGGGTCCCGAAGAACCGGAAGATGAAGAAATCTAGACAAGGCCTGGGTCTCTTTGCCAAATTTTCTGTTTAAAAAAATATTTTTAAAAAACAGGTACAATATAGATAAATCAATATCATATAAATTTACCATTGTGACCATTTTTCAGTGTGCCACTAGGGCCCTGAGCACAATCACAATGTCCTGCGCTGTCACCACCATCTCCAGAGTGCCCCTATCCGATAAAACTGTCCCCAGGGAAGCCTCAGCCCGGTCCCGCCCCGCCCCTCCACTTTCTGTCTGAACTTGACAGCTCCAGGACCTCACAGGGTGGAGTGGGCAGTGTGTGTCTTTTTGTGGCTTCTGTCACCCAGCATCACGTCCTCAAGTCCCTCCATGTTACAGATCCTCCCTTTTCAAGGCTAATAGTCGGCATTTTAAAAATAATGTCAGTTTTTATGGCAAGTAACACAGGACGTGGGAAATTCCAAAGTACAAAGAACCAGTCGGAGAAAAGCAGGCCCCAGCTCTCTCCCCAAGGAGAGGGGCCAGGACACCGCCCGACAGGAATGGGGATGTCACATGTCCTCACAGGGGCTCTGCTGGTGCTGTCACAGCGTCGTCCCATGGAGGGGCTGTTGCCGGGCACATCCCGGCCCCCCTTCCCAGGGCTGCCGTGAGCATCGCGGGCCAGACGTCTTCCTGAGCGTGAGCATCTCGCCTGAATTCCTGGACAGGAACTGAGTCAGGGCGCGTGAGTCACGATTTCAAAGTATAATTGCCAGACCCCCCTTTCCTGCCCTGCCCAGTGACACTGGGCGCCCCCCCCCCGGTGCCCCCTGGGTGTTCCTGGTGCTGCTCACACTTGGCTCCTCTTCTGCTTGTGGAGGATGCCTGCCCCCATCTCCGTTGCCAGGAGACACAGGCATGGGCTGAGGGACAACTGGGTGCTGGTGCGGAGTCCCTTGACCCCACCGCAGCTCTCAGCCTCAGTCCCCTCTCAGGCTCGGAGGCTGGCTCTGTCCAGGACTCTGCATGGTCACTTCCTGGCTGATCCCTCCTTCCTTGCATGTGTGGCTAGATTAGGACTCTGGTGACGAAGGAAGTGGCCGAGCGGACCCCTCGCCCTCTCCAGTTGACTTCGTCCTCCCGGACGCCAGCCGGCCCTGGTGCCCCTCCTGCTGCCAGACCTGCACCCCACCACAGCGGCCCAGCCCTGACCACAGGGCCCAGCCCTGACCCCAGTGTGGGGCTCCCCCACGAGGACAGGGGGAGGTGTCTGTGTGGCAGGGACACCGCCGAGTGCCGTCACCTACCCGAGCCTGCTTTTCATGTGCACAGAGGGTGCCCATGGGGTAGTGCATAGTGTCCCCACAGAGCGCCAGAAGCAGGGATGTGGGGGCTGGAAGGGAGGGGAGGGGACCCTGGAAGGGTGACAAGGTCCCTCTCCCTCAAAAGTCAACCAGAGTCACACCTGGGGTCCCAGTCGGAGGGAGGGGCAGGAAGCAGCAGAGGGGCTTTAAGAACCAGGCCCAGGGCCGCCAAGGAGCCCTGACCAGGGCCCCCATGGCAGAGGTGGCCTCGCTGGGGTCCCTCG